CTTTTATAACAAAACCACTCTGACTGGTAGCCATGAACCCATTCCTCCATCAGCCCATGAATGGATGAATTTGTTCATGAGGGGAGAACCCTTATAAATGAGCCCATCACCTCCCAAAGGTCCCACCTTCAAATACCATTAACATTTTAATTGGGGCATCACTTTCCAACACTTGAAATTTGGGGGACACATTTCAATCATTTCGGAAAGATTAGAGCTAAGGACAATAGCCGTGATGTGCTAAAGTCATAATTCACTGAGTCATTCTAATAAGCCTGGAAATAGGTGTTACACCTAAGGTTTTAGATTAGAAATTGGGGGCTCAGAGACATACCTAAGATCACGCACTGGTCAGTGCGTCACCAAAGCCCTCAGCACATAGCTAGGAGTGGTGGCTTAGGTCTGGGACCCCTGCACTTGGGAGGTGGAAATAGAAGGGTCAGGCAATCAAGGTCATCCTCAGCTGCTACATAGCGAGGCCAGCTTGGACTACATGAGACCAAAACAAACAGAGGCATTTAGTACATCACCTATAGACTGAGTGACCAATGTGTCATTTACAAATCTATCTGAACTTCAGAGGGTGTTTTCAGTGTTTGGAATTGGTGGAATATATCTGGGCACAAGTCATACCTGGGGCCAGAGCAGTGGTCTTTAGCTAAGTGTGTTTTCCCCATGTCTGAGGCTCCTGGTAGAGGAGAAGTCAGTTCATGCTACTGGGATTAGGGGTCTCTTGGGTGGGATGTTTTGTCCATATGAGGTCCAGGGTCTGAGTTGAGGAGGCCTTTGTTCTGTGACTGGAAGAAGAAACTTTGTATGGATGTCAGGCATGACATGGGGTAGACTCAGTGCAGGATGGTGCAGAATGGAGGCCTGAGAGGGAAATGTCTAGGCTGTACCTGTGCTCTTGGGGCATATGATGTGTGTGCTGGATAGCTTTAGTAGTCAACTTGACCTACGTAGGAAGAGAGAACTTCAATTGGGCAATTGCTTGTATTGGTTTGATCTTGTCTGCATGTCTGTGAGGCCTTTCTTGATTTGTTGAGTGATGTGGGGGGGCCTAGCCCACTGTGAGTGGCTCTACCCCTGGGCAGGTGGTCCTGTGTTGAATAAGAAAGCAGGCTTGCTGGGTGGGCGTGGTGGCACACACCTTTAATCCCAGCACTCGGGAGGCAGAGGCAGATGGATCTCTGTGAGTTTGAGGCCAGCCGTGTCTCCATAGTGAATCCAGGCCAGCTGGGGCTACAGGGAGATCCTGTCTCAAAAAGACCGAAAAAAAAAAAAAAAAAAGAAGAAAAGAAAGAAAGAAAAAAAAAAAAGCAGACTGCCCAGGATGGTGGCGCATGCCTTTAATCCCAGCACTTGGGAGGCAGAGGCAGGAGGATCTCTGTGAGTTCAAGGCCAGCCTGATCTACATAGTGAGTTTCAGGCCAGCTGGGGCTACAGGGAGACCCTGTCTTAATATAAAAAAAGAAAGTAAAGAAAGCAGACTGAGCACAGGCTAGAGGAGGAAGCAGCACTCCTCCAAGGTCTATATTTTGGTTCCTGCCCCGAGCGCCTGCCCTGTCTTCCCTCCATGATGAATTATAAGCTGAAGGTGAGACAAGACCTTCCCTCCCCAGGTTGGCTTTGGTCAGTGTTTTCTCTCAACAACAAAACCAAACCGGGACAGTGCGACAGATACCTTGCTAGACAGACAGGCACACACACACACACGCATACACACACACACATACATACACACACACACATACACACACATGCATACACATGCATACACACACATACATACACACACATGCATACACACATACATACACACATACACACACGCATGCACACACATACACACATGCACACACACATACATACACACACATGCATACACACATACACACATACATACACAGATACACACACGCATGCACACACATACACACATGCACACACACATACATACACACATACACACATACATGCACACACACGCATACACATACACACATGCACACATACACACACAAACATGCACACACATACACACATGCATACACACACATACATACACACATACACACATACATGCACACACACGCATACACACATACACACATGCACACATACACACACAAACATGCACACACACATACATACACACACATACACACATGCATACACACACATACATATACACACATGCACACACACACATATACACATACATATACACACATACATACACACACATACACACATGCACACACACATACATACACATACACACACATACACACACACACCACTTCCTGCTCCTTTAGATAGGCCAGTCTTGTTCACACAGGTCAGGTCATTTCACAGCCCAGCAGTCCCACAGTCACCAGGCTGCTAGTATCATCCCAGCTCTCACGGTTGAGCCAGCAGTGCCAGGTTCATGTGGTAAACCAAGCATCCACAGTGCCAGGCCGGAGCTGTCTCAGGGCAGGCACTTAAGATTTCTGAAAAAGCTACCCAGCACAGTGGCTCACATCTGTAATCCCAATACTTTCAAAAGTGAGGCAGGAGGTTGGCCGGGAGTTCCAGATGGACCTGGACAGCATAGTGGAACTTGTCTCTCAAAAACGATAGCATCAACAACAAAGATCTGTGAGAAAGATGAATTCATGCTTTCCTTCACTCCTTTATTTACCCCTGCCTGCTGGCCTTTGTTTGTGTACTCCCTTGCTGGGGCCTCCTGGGGCCAGCAAACTTCCCTCCCTGCAGGCCCCTCCTTCAATGATACTTATGCACTGGCTAAGGGCACAAAGCACAGTTACAAGCCAAGTCCTGCAGCTCCTCCCCTGCCAAGCAGGTCAGGTCCTCAGACCCTGCCCAGGTACACTCCCCAGAGGACATTCTGTTTTTCTCTCTTTCTCTCTGCCCTGAGCACGTATCCCAAGCCGGATGCTTATGAAATCCTGTGAGTTCTTCCTTCACCAGGACCCTGATGGCCTGGTGCCCAGAGCCTGACTTTGGTGAGGCTGGGACAGGAAGCTCCCAGCCCTGCTGACACCAACCCAGTCTGAGACTGGGAGGGAGGCCAAGGTCACTGTCTATTCACTCAGATAAACCTGCACAGCAGTAGAGACCACCACTGGGTGGTGCCAAGTCTATTCACTTTTGTATAGTAAGTGCTCAATAAACGTAGCTACTAGAAAAATTAGTGGCAGAATAAAACTAAGTGCAGTGCACAGTAAGTGTGTCAGCGTGTCCACAGTTCTCATCCTAATAGCTGACATATTTGTGGGTGTGCGTGTGAGTGCATCCTGGGATATGACATGCTTATTGAACTTGTGTCTGATTTATATCAGAATGCTTGTGTCTGGGAGTTTGCATGGGGCTACTGTTCATCTCTGGCAATGCACAGCATTCCACGGTGGCATCCAGAGGGTCTTTGAGCACCTGACAGGGGCCGAATAGATACATGTGCTGCCTGTGTCTGTGGACCTCTCAGGAGTGTTTGGTAGTATGATAGCATTAGCAGGTTGGTGAGTCGGTAGATGCTGTGGAGTTGTTTCTGTACCTGTGGGTGCCAGAGTCGTGGGACGTTCTGGACTTACATAATTTTGGTTCAAAATTTAAGTCTGCTAGATATTCAGTGTTGGACAGGATGTTTATACAAACCATGCTCTGTCTTCTCAACTGGAGATGGGGTACCCACCTTCAGATGTATAAAGACCCAAATCTCTATAAAGTACTTAGGACAGAACCTGGGCCAGCCAGGGCTATATATGTCACAGGGTCTCATATAGCTCAGGCTGGCTTCAGATTCACTATGCTGTCAAGGATGACTTAGAAATCCTGATCCTCTTGCCTCCAGCTCTTGAGTGCTGGGATTACAGGTGTACAGGACAACACCTGGGTTATGCTGTGCTGGGACTTGAACCCAGGGCTTTGGGCATGCTAGGCAAGCACTCTCCTAACTGAGCTGCATCCCTAGCTCATATGCCACTACCATGTCATGCTCTCTGAATCTGTCTATCTGTTTTCTGTGATACAACACTGCATCAACCCATTACAGTATTACCCTGACCTGATGTCAGTCTGTGGTCAGGACTGTCCATTCCTCTAGACCATGAGTCCCTGGAGGGCAGGGTTCTGTCTGTTCATCTCTAGTTTTAACCTGTGTGACTTGGTTTTCTCTCTTTCAGAATAGCTTGAATTTAAATATATTTGAGGCTCTAGACAAAGCTCTCAGTGAAGCTCAAACAATCTCAGTGAATTAGTGTCCTTGTTGTCCCCCTTTAGAGAAAAAACTAAAACGAAACAAAAGCAACCACAGAAAAAGTGGCTCAAGTCAGGCTGTGGTACATACTCCTAATCCTAGCATCAGGAGACAGAGGCAGGAGGACAGTCAATCAAATCAGCCTGAGCAATGTCTCGGAAAATAAAAACAAGAGGCTGGAGAAATGGCTCAGCAGCTGAGTACTTTGTGCTCTTCCAAAGGACCAGAGTTCGGTTTCCAACACCCATAATCCAGTGGCTCACCAGTTCTAGGCTCATTGACCTATAACCCCCAGCTCCAGGGGATCTGATGCCTTTTTCACGGGCAGCCCCCTACACACGTGTCATACACACATAGAGACATACACACACATAAATCTTTAAAAAGTGAAAAAATGAAAATGAAACTAAAGCAAAAACTGGGGTTCAGAGAGAGTAAGAGATTCCTTAAGCTCACAGTGTCTAGAACCCTGACCTATTGACAAACCCTTAGAGCTGCTGCTTCTCCCTCTCCTCCCCCCACTTTCCCCCCACTGGTTTCCCAGCTCAGCCAGTTTGGTTTTGCCTCTCCTTGTCTCTCTGTCCCACCAGAAATCAGTCAGACCATCCTCTCTCTAGTCTGCCTGGGGGTTAGGCAGAGAGTTTTTTTTTCTGAACTAATCCAGTCCCATGGATTTACAGGGAAGGAGGGGAGGGGAGGGCAGCTTCCAGGTGGTGTTCTGGTTGAGCACTCTGGTTACCTTGTTAAAGAGGCAGAACGGGGATGAGGTGTAACTTAGTGGTAGAGTGTGTTTAAGGCTCTAGGTACAATTCCAAGTACTGAAAAAGAAAGAAAAGAAAAAGATGAAGTACTGTCTAGGACCAGCTTCCCTCCAGTCTCTCAGGTCCAACAACCTAAGGAGCTACGATAACATTGGAGAAACACAAGGGGGAGCCCCAAGAAGCTTAGCCTCCTGGCACTCAGCCTTGTATTGCCTGCTGTTAAGAGGAATACTCTGCTAAGGTCAATAGTTCAAGATCAAATCTTCTACATTTCAGAAGCCAGTCATAGTGGTATATGCTTGAAGTCTGAGCGCTGGCAGGCTAAGGTAGAAGAATCAGGAGTTCAGGGCTGTCCTTTATTACATATTGAATTTGAGACCAACCTGCATTACATGAAACCCTGCCAAAAAAGAGAAAGAATGAAGGGAGAGAAGGAGGGAAGGAGGGAGGGTGCTGAGTGTATTGTGGTGCACTGTAATTTCAGCACTTGGGAGGCAGGGGCAGGAGGATCAGAAGTTCAAGGTCGTTCTTGGCTATACATGGAGTTTCAGGCCAGCCTGGGCTACATAAACCTGGTCTCAAGGAGGGTGGGAGGGAGAGTGAGAGACTCTCAGCAGTTAATAGCTTGCTGCTGTTCCAGAGGATCAAAGTTCAGCTCCCAGCACCCATTTCCTGAGAGTCACAACAGCCTTTAACTTCAGCCAGGGGGATCCTATGTCCTTTTTTGGCTTCCCCAAGTGTGTGTATGTATGTGTGTGTGTGTATGCATGCGCACACACAAATAAATAATCTTTAAAAGAGATAAAGAGTTCTTACGAAGCTTAACACTATACACAATTAATACAATTTAAAAAATAAAAAGCATTGTGGGGCTGGAGAGTTGGCTCAGTGGTTAAGAGCACTGGCTGGCTGCTCTTGCAGAGGACCTAGGTTCAATTCCCAGCACCCACATGGTGGTTAACAACTGTCTATAACTCCAGTTCCAGGAGAATCTGACACCATCTGCTGATCTCCACGAACACTGCACAGTACAGGTGCAATACATACATGCAGACAATACACTCATACACATAAAAATATTTTTTATAATTTTACTTTTATTTTTAAATTCTATTTGTTATTTTTATTTTATGTGTATGAGTGTATTGACTGCATATATGTAAGTGCAGCCTGTGTCGTGCCATGGAGGTTAGAAGAGGGTGTCGGATTCCCCTGGAACTGGAAGTTAAGGTCAGTTCATAGCTGCCATGTGGGTGCTGGGAATCAAACCCAGGTCCTCTGCAAGAGCATCCAGTGCTCTTAACTGCTGAGCCATCTCTCCAGCCCCCAAATAAAATATTTTTTTTAAAAAATGAAATAAAAAGTATTGTAATAAAAAATTGCATTCACATGGTTCAAAATTAAACATGAGTGAGGGACTAGGTATGTGGCTCATGACGGAACACTGGCCTAGACTGAACCAGCCCTCCTGGCTTTGAGCCCCTGAACTCCCTGAAAGTACCCAAGATCATGGATGTTTTATATATATACAAGGGAAGTTAAACAAATGGTAGGAAAGCGTTCGAGGCTCTGATCCTTTTCTAATGGTATAACTCGACTCAGTCCAGATGGGCACATGAAGAGCTGTGTCGCTGTCCACCAGTATGCTGGTGCATAAATGTGCCATGCTTTCAACTAGCTGCCTATCCATGAGTGCCTACATTGTTTCCAAGTGCTTTCTGTGGCAGTCTGATAGTATCCTAACACTCAGAATCTTGCTATAGACACACCTGCACGCAGGTGTGAAGGGCTGTACCAATTCTACCCTGTGTCAGCTTCCTAGGGTTTCCAGGACAAAGCATGGCTGACAAGGGGGCTTTGAGCAACAGAAATGTGTTCATACAAGTAGACTGTAGCAGGGCAGCACTCTGTAAGCTCAGCCGCTCCTTGCTTCTAACCTCTGGTGGCTGTGGGCAGCTGTGGCTGTGTCTTGGCTTGTACGTCTTCCTCCTTTGCCTCTGTCTTCTCACGTCTCTTTATAAATGGACGTAATCTGGACTAATGTCTTTAAATTAACCTTTGCGAACTCCATGATCCTTGTCTTATGACAGGATATTTCTCTTGGCAACCTCAACTTGGTACTCCACCCAAAAATAATGAATGAATGTGAGTATGCTTGAGAATTAACACAGCACAGCGCTGGAAGACAACACACCCATCTCCACTGTACACAGTGAAGACTGGGAAGGATGTATGACATTGGGTAAATGAGATATTCTAGAAAGAGGGATGAAAAGGCAGAAAGGTCTATTAAGATGACGATTTAGGCAAACTTGTACTTCCCCAATAAATCTGGAGAAACCAGTTTGAATAAAAATGCGAGTGAGGCCTAGCTTGGGAGCAGTTCCAGAAGACAGTTCCAAGAGAGATCTGGGGGAAGAAGGAGTGTCCTCTGAGTTTGGACCCACACTTAAAAAATCAATTTAAGGGTAGCTGGAGAGATGGCTCAGCAGTTAAGGGCACTGGGTACTCTTGCAGAGTGTACCTGGGTTCAGTTCCCAGCACCCACATGGTAACTGGCAGCTGTCTATAACTCCAGTTCTGGAGATCCAACCTCCATGGACTCTTCTGATCTTCACGGGCATCGCATGCAGGTGCTGCACTTACAGGCATGCAGGCAAAACACTCATACATATAAAATAAATAAAGTAAATGTAAAATAAATGTAAGAGTCAAGCTTTTTTGTTCAGGTAATTGCAGTGTTGGCTTAGTAATGCTGCATTCAAATGGCCACCTTCCTTCTGTGTGCAAATTCCCTCTTTTAGTAGGGATGCTGGTCACAGGAGGAAACGCTTCTCCAATACAGTATGACCTCATCGTTACTTGATGACATCTGTGCAGACTCTATTTCTAGGCTGGGTGTGGTGGTGTACGCCTTTGATCCTAGCACTTGAGAGGCAGAGGCAGGTAGGTATCTATGAGGTCCAGGCAAGCCTGATATACATAGGGAGTTCCAGATCAATTGGGGCTACAGGGAGACCCTATCTCAAAAAAAGAAAGAAAAAAATTATTTCCATATTAGGTGGCCCTGACCCTGGGTGACCTTGAGAGTGTGTTTCTTCACTCTTCAGCCCAGTCATATTCCCATTAGCAATGTTTGAGCATGAAAAGGGCCTTCTCCACAGTTCCAGGGGATTTGGGTGACAGATGGCAGGTTCAGGAATTGACATGGGTAACTGGATTCTGCTTCTCTGCAATGGGGTGCACTGTTGGACTCGGCTGTGTGGAAGCCTGGCAGTTACTAGGTTATGGATGAGGGCTGGCTTCTCGTGTGGCAGCTGGGAAAGAAAATCCACGTGGCGTAGATGTTCTGGACTATGAGTCCCTTCAGTTTCCTGGGTCATTTAGTCTTTTCAGTAGTATGAAATCCTATCCCTGGGCCTGACCTGTGTGGGCACCAACCTGGAGTGTCTAGGTCAGAGGTCACATCCTCCCGGGGTTAAGTTCTTCCCCCTGGAATACATTGTTTTGCACACTATTTAGCCAGGTTTCAAAATACTATTTTTTTGTTTTGTTTTGTTTTTGGTCTTTTTGAGACAGGGTCTCCCTGTAGCCCCAGCTGTCCTGGAACTATGTAGACCAGGCTGGCCTTGAACTCACAGAGATCTGCCTGCCTCTGCCTCCCGAGTGCTGGGACTAAAGGCGTGTGCCACCACGCCTGGCTCAAAATAGATACTTAAAAGAAAATTTATTATTTTTATTTTATGTGTATGCATGTATTGCCTGCATGTAGGTAAGTGCACCCGTGTTGTGCAGTGCCCAAGGAGGATAGAAGAGGCTGTCAGATCCCCTGGAACTGGAGGACAGTTTTTAGCTGCCATGTGGGCACTGGGATTCGAACCCGGGTCTTCTGCAAGAACAGCCAGTGTTCTTAACTGCTAAGCCATCTCTCCAGACCCTGATACTTTTTTTTTTAAATTCTGTCTCTCATGCAGCCAGCTGGGCTCAAGCTTGCTATGTAGCTGAGGATGACCTTGAACTCCTGATCCTCCTGCCTCCACCTCCCCAGGGCTGGGATTACAGGATACACCACCATGTCTGCTTTCAAATAGTCTCAATGCATGTGCATGTGTGAGTTCATCTATGTGTGTATGTGAATTGATGTCACTTGTAGGTATGTGCACATGGAGGTCAGCTTTGGGTGTTGTTCCTCAGGACAGCTGGTCACCTGTTCAATTCCCAACACCCACTGCAGCTAACAACCATCTGTAACTTCAGTTCCAGGGGCTCCAATGCCCTCTTCTGATCTCTGTGGGCACTGCATGACATGGGTGCACTTACACACATGCAGGTAACACACTCAAACACATAAAGCAAAATAATTTTTAAAAATTTAGATTCCAAAAAATTTTCAGATTTCTAATTTATCTGAAAAATAAATCTGTTGGGGCTGGAGAGATGGTTCCGTGGGCAAGAGCACTGGCTGCTCCTGCAGGGACCCAGGTTCAGCTCCCAGCACCCACATGGCAGTTCACAACAGTTCCTAACTCCAGTTCCAGGGGATCTGACATCCTCTTCTGACCTCTGTGAACACTGCACACATGGGTATACTTACAAACATGCAGGCAAAACACTCATACACATCAAATAAAAGTTAATAAATTTTTAAAGAAGAATATGTTAATATCATGTTCACATTCTCACCTGGCAACAATCAGCTGGGTACATCAGGCTGTGTCCCAGCTCTGGGCCTCCAAGCCAAGAGTCACCAGAGTGGACTGGGCTGTGGCTCTGAATCCCATGCCTGCTATTTACTAGCCGAGCATCCTTGAACAAGTTGCTTGAATGTCTCTTTAAGCTTCAGTGCCCACATCTGTAAAACTCAGACTGATATTTTTTGCAGGGTGGGGGACATTGTTGAACTACAGCTTGACCTCAAACCTAATAATCTGCCTGCCACAGCCTCCTGAGTCCTGGGAGTGCACATGTGCATGTGTGCTCTAAGAACTGCTTCATCCAACAAATTCTTACTATCTTCTGTGTGCCAGGCACTGTTCGAGACACTTGTGTGTAAAGATCTTTGGTCTTCCAGGGCTTACATGTGGCAAGGGTAGGCAGGCTGTAAGCAACCTGGTATAACAGATGGGCAAACTCTAATGTATTTAAAGGTGATTCATGCTATGGAAAATCAGAACCAAAATCAAGGGTATACAAGGAATAGGGAAATAGGGTACGGTCATGTTTCTAAATGGGATGCTCACTGACAAGGTGACTTAGAAAGGAATTTTATGTGTATGAGTGTTTTGCCTGCATGTATGTAAGTGCATCACATGTGTACAATGCCCACAGAAGCCAGGTCCCCCCGAAACTGGAGTTGGAGAATAGGAGATAGTTCTGAATAGGCATAGTCAGGGAAGGAGGTCCCAGACTAGATTCAACTGTGATTCCAATTACTCTCACTTGTATTTAAGATGGCCTTCTTCCAGGTTCTTCTCCAAAGTTGGCCCTTTGGTTGTCCCCCTACTAACATACTCCCTCTGGTGGGAATTCCAAATTTCCTGCCTTTGCTCTGCCAAATCAGGTTCCTGCTTTCATTTGAGTGAGCCAACCAGTAACAAGCATCCTGCTGTGTCCAATCCAAAGGAGGAAAGGGGAGCCTAGTCCTATTCCATCTTCTACCCTATAGAATATAAAAACCCAGACTCTCCAGGAGAGTAGATGAATGCCCCAGCTCTGAACCCCTTCCCATTTTGGGGAGTCTGTCACTGTTGTGGAGTATTACTTATGCTTCAGTAAATCTTAGCTGTGTGTGCGCTGTGACTGCAAACTTCTCATCTTACAACCTTTACCTGGTGAAGAAAAGGGCCCCAGAACAGACCTTAGGTGGCATCAGTTGTGGATGGTTGTTAGCAGCCATGTAGGTGCTGAGAACAGAATCTGGGTCCTGTGTAAGAACAGCCAGTGTTCTTAACTGCTGAGCCATCTCTCCAGCCCCTAGAAGGTGATTCTTGAAGGAGGCTGAGAAACTGATCACTGGATATTTGGGGAGGGATAGGCCAGCAGATGGAACAGCTAGGAGCCTGGCTTAGATGCTGGAGACACAAGAGGCTGGTGTGGCTGGGGAAGAACAGAGCAGGTGACAGGATCAAGGTCACAAAGGAAGGTTGGGCAGCCAATGGGATGAGTCTTTAAAGGCTACAGAGAAGTTGGGTTTTGCCAAGCAAAGTGGAAGCCATGAGAGGACACTGAGCTCTGAGACGATTGACCTAAGACCTTGTCCATCTGGCTGCTCCATAGAGATTAGACTTGGGAAGTAGGATGCAGATGCAAAAGGTTGGATTTGGAGACCAGGGAGAAACTGCTGCTATAATCTAAGTGGGAGAGAGTGGTGGCCCAGGTGAGGGAGCTGGCTTGGCCCAGCACATGACTCAGAACAGAATCTGTGTCCCAGGCTGAGTTGTACTGGGTTCAGGGTAGAAGGAAAGGAAGGAGTCAAGGATGATGCCACAGCCTGGCAGAGCAACCAGAGGGACGGAGCTGACACTCTAAGATGGGACAGCACAGGGGACAGGATGGGTGGGAAGGGGTAATGGGACAGTTGGGCATGGCTGAGGTGAAATTCACCCTGTGGGTAATGCCTTTGGAAATACAAGCCTGAAGATCAGGAGTCAGATTTGGGAATAAGAGCCCTTCCCACTGCATAGGGCCTAGCCCCTGCTCAGTGTTCATCAGGGTCAGTGGTTGTGTGTGTTGCTAGGTAGCCCAGGCTGACCTTGAACTTAGAGCAATCCTCCTGCTTCGACTTCCCTAGTGCTAGGATTCCAGCCCTTCCCACTGCATAGGGCCTAGCCCCTGCTCAGTGTTCATCAGGGTCAGTGGTTGTGTTGCTAGGTAGCCCAGGCTGACCTTGAACTTAGAGCAATCCTCCTGCTTCGACTTCCCTAGTGCTAGGATTCCATGCTGGGGGGAGGGGGTGGCCACCATGCCTGGTTCTTCTAGTCTTGGGAAGGAGTCGCCTTTGGCTACAGCCCCTCCTCCCCACACTCCTCTCAGGGATGAGGCATGAGGTAATAGCTTGACAAGGCCAGGGTAGACCCTGGGGGAAGCTGTAGACATGTGACTTCCCCCTCTCTGGCCATTAGTTATGTTCTTGTAGAGGAAAGAATCTGTTTCTCAAAGGGTGATCCTAGGGAGTGAACGAGATAAAGGACAGCAGCATACAGTGGATCTCTGCAGCAAAGAAGCCTGATTTCTTTCCTCCCTCCCCGCCAACCAGGGGTCTGGAAGCAAAGGCGGTGTCTATCCCAGCTGTTTATTGAAAGAGGTAGGATAGGAGGGGCAAGGAACAGGGGACCCTGGAGGACACATGAGGCACAGAGGCAGTGGGGGCTGGCCTGAGGATCTCCCCCAGGAAGCCCTTAGGCCAATAGGGGCAGACAGAGGTGGGAGGTCCAGTTAGCTTGGAGCAGACAAGTGGCAGACACAGGAGATGGTGCCTCTGGATAGAAGGGGCTGGGCCTCTGAGCGCACATTTTTGAGTCAGGACTAGTGGGCACAGGTGTGTCTACTTGTGCAGGGTGGACTTTGAGGAGCAAAGACATTCCACTTTTCCTAATGCCTGGACTGAGTTATGGATGGTTGTTAACCACCATGTGGGTGCTGGGAATCAAACCCAGGTCCTCTGCAAGAGCAGCCAATGCTCTTAACCACGGAGCCATTTCTCAAGCCCCCATGGAAGGGCAGTTCTTAGATGAGTTTGCCCCTACCCTGAGGCAGGGCAAGGATTTGAGAATGAGACCTGATTTGGGGGGGGCTACTAGTATCTTAGGGAGAAGGGCCCTGCTGAAAGGGAGAGGTCAGGGTAATGAGGGAGAGGTGTGCAAGGAGAGAAAGCATTTGATTCCCCAGCTTCCAGCTTATGAGCCTCGCTTGGGCTGGCCGATCTGCACAGAAGTCAGCCCAAAGGGGCTGGTGGTGTCAGGAACCATGACTGACCGCCGGCATCATTGAAGATAGGAGACAGTTGCTCTGGCTCATCCCTGAAGACCTCCACAGGACTGTCAGCTTCAGTGATCAAGGGTTCTGCCTTGATGTCCTCGCTCAGCCAACCTGATGCGGCCAAGAAGAGGCAGATGGCCAGCAGGATCCCGGCTGCACCACACAGTGCTACACCTGCCAGGCGGCAGGTGCCCAGGGCTTGGTTGTAGTCGGCTGCTGGATCATCTAGTGACTGGAACTTATCATCATTGACGAGTTCTAGTTTGGGAGGCACCGCATAGCCGGTGGTCAGGGCTGCCACACCCAGCAGCAGGAACAAGGTCCCTGAAGACAGGGTGATCTGAGGAGAGTCAGACAGAGTAGGAAGCAGCCAGGTTCAGCTAGAGTCCAGGGTCATAGGATCGTGAGAGGGGTATCACCGAACATGGGCTGCTGGCAATGGAACCCAGGGCTTGCACATAATAGGAACAAGTACTCTACCATCGGTCTACAGCTTCAACTCTGTTTGAATTTTAGTTTGAGACAGGCTTTACTAAATTACCCAGGTTGGTCTGAAACTATGTAGAAGAAGCTGGCCTCAAACTTGCCTCCCAAATGCTGTAATTACAGTTCTGTGCTACCATGTCCAACCTAGCAATGGTTTCCCCCAGGCAACCTTGAGTACCCTCCACCATTATTTGGGTTCCATTTATTATTATTTTCACTGACTGTTATATGTAAGGATGTGGGAAAGGTACACAGGTGCATGTAGGGATCAGGGGTCAACCTCCAGTATTTTTCTTCAGGAGCCACCTACCTTGTTTTTTAAAATGGTCTCTCACTAGAACCTAAGGCTTGCAGATCTGGATAGGCTGGCTGGCCAGCAAGTCCCACAGAGCCTCCGGTCTCTATCTTCCCAGTGCTGGGATTAGATCTTGACAGAGGTGCTGGGGGCGGAACTCAGGTCCTTAGGCTTGCATAGCAAGCCCTTCACTGACTGTGTTATATCCTCAGCCCTAATTGGGTACCATCTTATCCCATGACCCTTTCCAACTTGCCCTTTCTCTCTCTCTCTCTCTCTCTCTCTCTCTCTCTCTCTCCCTCCCTCCCTCCCTCCCTCCCTCTCAGCCTTTTTTGAGACAGGGTCTCCCTGTGGCCCCGGCTGGCCTGGAACTTGATATGTAGACCAGGCTGGCCTTGAACTCACAGCGGTCCACCTGCCTCTGCCTCCCGAGTGCTGGGATTAAAGGCCCGCCCAGTCCAACCTTGTCTCTTTACTATGTTAATGCCCGTGCTTCAGGACTCATCTCAAACCCCCCTTCCTCTGGAACAACTTCCAAGACACTTCCAGGTTGGGCAGGTGTCTTGCCCTCTGCACAGATGTGTGCCAACTTGTCTTTCAGTGCACCTACCTCAGAGCACACTTGGACATGGATTTTGGTTCTTAGGACCACTGGACTGAGCCTTATGAAAGCAAAGATAGCATGCGTTGGCTCACTAGGCATCTTGTGCTGAACAACTAAATAAACCATGCAGTAGAGTCCTTAAGTTTGAGGCTGGGGAGATGGCTCAGTTGGTTAAGTGCCTTCCATGCAAGGATACAACCTGAGTTTGGAGCTCACACCCATATAAAAAAGCTGGACTTGGCTATATACATCTGTAACTCTAGTGCTGCAAGGGTGGAAACAGGTGGATCTCCAGAGCTGACTAGCAAACCAGTCTATCCAATTGGTGAATGCCATGTTCAGCAAGAGCCTCTGTCTCCAAAGATAAGGTTAGGAGCTGGAGAGATGGCTCAGTGGTTAAGAGTGCTTGCTGCTCTTGCAGAGGACTGGAGTTCTGTTCCCAGCTCCCACAGGCAGCTCACGACCATCAGTAACTCTAGCTCCAGGGGTTCCTACACCTTCTGGTCTCTGTGGGCATCCCCACCATACACTTTAATAAAAAATAAATCTTGGGCCAGGCATAGTGGTGCATGCCTTTAATCCCAGCACTTGAGAAGCAGAGGCAAGTGGATCTCTGTGAGATTGAGGCCAGTCTGGCCTACATAGCAAGTTCCAGACCAGCTGGGGCTAGGGAGACCCTGTCTCAAAAAAAAACCCAAAATAATAAATCTTAAAAAAATAGATGAGGTGTCGAGCAATAGTGGAAGGCACCTAACACCTACTTCTGGCCTCCACATGTGTGCACAGATGTACATATACAAATACATACACAGGTTTAAAAAAAAAAAAAGGCCAGGGGCTGGAGAGATGGCTCAGTAGTTAAGAGCACTGACTGCTCTTGCAGAGGACCCGGGTTCGATTCCCAGCACCCACCTGGCGGCTACAAACCATCCTTAACTCTGGTTCCAGGGGAATCCGAAGCCCTCTTCTGACCTCTGCAGCACTGCACTACACGGGTGCACTCACACACATGCAGGCAATATACTCATACACGTAAAATAAAAGCAATAAATAAAAACATTTTTTTAAAAAAAGGCCAATGAGATTGCTCAGTAGGTAAAGGTGCTTGCTGTGCATGCTAGGCAACCTGAGTCAGATCCCTGGAACCCATATATAGTTGGAAGAGAATCAATCCCACAAGTTGTCCTTTGACCTTTACATGTGCACTGTGGCACAGCCTATACACACAGCCTATAAATAAAATTTAAGGAGTTCTTAAATTCTTTGTCTTCAAGAGCCAGTAATTAAAAAAAAAAAAAGCTAGCTGGGGGGGCTGGAGAGATGACTCAGCAGTTAAGAGCACTGACTGCTCTTGCAGAGAACCCAGGTTCGATTCCCAGCACTCACATGGCAGCTATGAACTGTCCTTAACTCCAGTTCCAGGGGAATACGAAGCCTATTCTGATCTCTGTGACACTGCACGACACGGGTGCACTCACATACATGCAGGCAATACACTCATACACATAAAATGAAAATAATAAATTAAAAAAAAATGCTAGCTGGACCTGGTGGCTCAGACTTGTAATCCCAGCTAGTCAGGAGGCTGATGCAGGAAGATGACAAGTGTAAAGCCAGCCAAGGGTACAGAGTGAGTTCAAGGCCAGCCTAGGCAACTTAGTGAGACCTTGCCTGAAAATGAAAAAAAGAAAGAGGGCCGGGGTGTAGCTCACTGGTAGAGTAGCAGAGAGCTGTGCTCAGGATGTTTAAGTACAATCCCTATTACCATTACCTAAAACACTTTTTGTTTCTTTGTTTTTGGATACAGGGATTTTTGTTCTGTGGCCCAGACTGGGCTCATGTTCAAACTCAAGACCTTCCTGCCTTTGCTGCCTAAGTGCTGTTTAAAATACTTATTTCTGGAAGTCTTGCCTGATCTCGCAGGGTACTGAGGCCTTTTCTCTCCTGGCATCCTCTGCACACCTGATCTGAGGTTGGGCAGGTTGGTCCCTCTGCACAGTTTGGCACCTTGTCTCCTGAGTAGAGTGGAGCCCTTTGCTCCTCTGCTTTCTATCTTCCCTACAGCATTCAGCGGAGAACTATGCCTATCGTAGCAACTACTGATTGGCAACTCTCTGGCTGTTATGAACAGCAATCTTTTCTCTCACATCTCTCCACTGCTCACCAAATGGTACCCCAAAGTGGGAAACCCTAGTAAGATGCAGGTGAGGTGAACTCCACTTCCTGCCCTTGTACTTCCTCTTCATGGTCATAGCAATTAGCTTAGAGCTGGCAGGTGGCCCAATCAGTCAGAACATCTAGGAACGAAATGCTTTCTTTCCTTTATTTCTCCTTTGTTTTTACTTCATTTCATTAATTTTGAGATAGAATTACTTTTTTAAATTTTTTTTAATTTTGAAGATATTTTAGTGTTTTTATTTCATGTGTAGGCATGTAGTTGCCTGCATGTAGTAGAATTACTCTTTATTGCCCAGGCTGGCCTGTAACTCACTATTCTTTCTCAAGTTGGCCTTGAACTCATGATCCTCCTGCCTCAGGCTCCCAAGATATAGGCTACTATGCCTGGCCTGGTTAACACAGGGTTTCCTTATGTAGCCCAGGCTGGCCTCTTTCTAATTTCTGGCTATCCTAGATCTTCTCTTTTTCTCTTTCTTTCTTTATTCTTTCCTGTCCTCTCTTCTTTCTTTCCTTTCTTTCTTCCCTTCTCCCTTTCTTCTTCCATCCCTCTCTTCATTGCTTTCTTTCCTTCCACAGGGTCTCATGTAGCTCAGGCTGACCTCAAATTCCCTGTGTAGTCAAGTGTGACCTTGAAACTTGGATCTTCCTACTTCTACTTTCCCAGTGATAGATTTGTAGCTGTGCACCACTACACCAATTTGTGTGGTGCTGGGGGTCAAACCCAGGTTTGTGAATGCTAGGCAAGCACTCTACCAACTGAGCTTCATCACCAGAACTAGCCTGGATCTTCTCTCTCTATATATAAACTACAGAATCAGTTTGTTGATACGACAAAATAATTTGCTGGGACCGTGGTTGGGATTGTGTTGAATCTACAGGCAGGAGAAGAATGACTTCTTGGCAATATTGAGCCTTTTTATCCATGAATTTTTGCAGTTTTTGTATACTGTATATATTTTCTTAGATTTCTACTTAATTTTCTTGCTTTTTTTTTTTGGTCTTTTTGAGACAGGGTCTCTCTGTAGCCCCAGCTGTCCTGAAACTCACTATGTAGACCAGGCTGGCCTTCTACTCACAGAGATACGCCTGCCTCTGCCTTCCGAGTGCTGGGACTAACCACCCCCGGCAATTTTCTCTCTTTTTATGGGCAGTACTAATAGAAAAGCTAATGCATTTTTAATTTCTGGCTATTTTTCATTGTTTCTTTTCTGAAGAAAATATTGGAGGAGGGCTGGGGATGCAGCGGCAGGAATCACTCTTTTGGTCTTACCTTCCAACACAATGAGGGCCAGGGTTGGTGGGGGCACTGGACTTGGGGTCCTTCTGGGTCTTCGCTGAGAGCAGTATTGGAACAATCCTTATAGGAGAGGTGTGGATAGGAGCCGGTGCCATACCGCTTACCTTCCTCCACGTTGTCATGGCCACACACACACGAGTGACTGCAGCTCAGTGTCATGGATCCCTGTGGGCACAAGGTATGGAGGGAAGTCAGTGGGGGGTGCCACTGTGGTCCTTCTGAGTCCTGGCCTTTTGGACTCCTCTCCTGTCTTTCCCTAAGTGCTCCGAGGAGTGTGTCAGTCAGCTCAGTGCATGGCAACTGCACATACTAGTCCATGCTCATGTTTTCTCTGGAGGCCACCCAGGGGCTTGCTTATGGGCTCTAAAGCCTCACTGCTAGGCCTGGGTCTCAGACTTACCACTTCTTCCATAGTATTTCACATGCTTGTACTGACTTCACAGGGCCTCAGCTTCCTTGTCTGTAAAATACGGCTAATAATGAGATAGGCTTCATTCAGGGAGCTATTATGATTAGTACGGTGCTTTCTTATTTTATTATTATTATTAGTGTATGTGATATGTACATGTGTGTGCAGGTGAGCACATGTGGAGGTCCTCAAGAGGACAACTTGTGGGAAATCAGCTCTTTCCTTCTGCCATGTGGGTCCTGGGGACTGAACCCAGATCACTAGGTGACAAGCTTAATCGCTGAGTGGTCTCACTAGACCCTGTTACTGTGCTTTATTTGTTATTATTTTCATCCTCAACTTTTGGGGCTCCATGTCTGCTGTGAGAGATCCTGTGTCTCCTTCCCTCAAAACTGCACTCCCCAGGACCAATTATCACAGATGGTACTTGTCCAATTGGGCTGGCGTTCCCAAACTGCATGGTCCTAAGGGCCTCCCCAGGGCTGACTCTCCACAGCCTACAAGTCCCAAGGAATTTTGACTCCACAGGAGCTGAAACTCAGGGGCCCTCAGAACTAGAGGCTCTGAGGCTCTTTGGCCTTTAGAGTTGCAGGTCCATTTAGGAACCCACAAAAGGAGACCACCCTGAGACCTTAGGGAAGGAAGGGGTCTGTGTTCATCCAGGTGCTGGGAAGCACTGGGCCTCTCACCCACTCCCCTCAACTCCATTGGACAGCTTCAAACAAAAGAAAACCGGGTACTTGTTCTGGAGAGTAAGGTATATCTAGGGCCCCTCTTACCTTCAATCAACATGACCCTCAGATTGGTGCATACACATTCACCAGCGCACCCCCCAATACATAGACATAACCAGGCAGACACATGGACGCATCGCGCAAATGTATACATAAATACGGATATAAACATACACACACACACACACACACACACACACACGCACGCACGCACGCACGCACAGTGGAGGTGCTTTTGGGGACCCCCTCCGAGACACACGCGAACACAGGAGTGCTGGTCCGTACATGGTGGATGCCCACCCGCCTCACAAATCAGGGGAAGGAAGAAAAGAAAGGGAGAATTTTTATTTTTAACGACAAAGAATGGTGAATGGCAGAGGCCAAAAGCGAAAGTGACAGAAGAGAGGGCTAGACAACAGCAAATCAAGGTCGAGGGGAGAGGCGGAGCCAAGTTGGTGGTGGGCGTGGCTAGCGCTGAGACCGCCTCGCCCTGGCTAGAAAATGAATGGAGGGCAGTCGGAGCCTCCCCCACCCAGCGTTAAGTTGGGGCCCCTGCGAGGCGGGGAGGGGTGCGGGGATAATAGGCTGGAGTCGGCCCCGCCCCTTGGATTTTTGCTCGCCCCTCCCCCCAAGAGCATCCAGCCCTGGGTCGGGGACACAGGAAAAGGAAGGTGACCTTGACTGAGCCTCCCCCTCCCCCTGGCCCCTCCTCCTCCCATCTCTGGGTGGCCGGAAGTAGGTTCCGGTGGGGGAAGGAAGCAGGGAGACATAGGATGCTGAAGAGCCCGCGGGGTTGTCATGGGAACCGCTAGGAAGGTGTCCCTAATCTGCAAGAGGTGGGACTTGGCAGGAGGCGAACGCGTAGAGGAGGGGGTCGCCGCAAGATGCTCTGCGGAGGCTGAGGGGACGGCCGGGAAGCGTTTGCGAAGGGGGATCAGCCCGGTTGGAATCATTCTGTCCTCCCTAGACCCGCGCACGACAGCCCCGCGGGAAGGACAGCCCTCCTAGGAGATGAGTCAGGACCCGGGCCGCACTCGGTAACCTGACCGACCACCCCTGCGTCCTTTCCCCGGAGGGAAATTGAGGCACATCGGAATGGGAATGGATTTTGGAGAGGGGCGAGTGATCTTGTCTTTGAAGCCTCGGCCCAGTCTATGAACCCCTGGGTGTCGAGGACCGTAATGCTAGGTCTCTGTCCCCTCTACTCCCCAAGCCCGAGGATCTCGCGCAGCCGTTCCCACCTCTGGCGGGACATGGCCCGGGCTGGGGACACGGGTGGGAAGTGGGGGTTTTCTGGAGCCGCGGGGATGGCGGGCAGGGGTTGGGCCGCGTGGAGTCAGGGCTGAGCTCACCTATGGGCCTGCTGTCTCCGCGGAGCGAGCCGAAGCTGCTGGAGCTGGAGCCAAGCAAGACAAGTTTACTTCGCGCCTGCGCCGCAGTCTGGGCTGGGGGCGGAGGGAGGTGGGAGGGGGGTGCCTCCGGCCCCAGAGGCTGGTTCTGCAGACTGCTGTCCCTGACAGATCCCCTGTCGTTTCCTGAGTTCCCTTCCCTCCCTTCTAAAAGAGCAGGGGACCATACCACCTATCTCCCAGAGCAGCCTACAGTCCTCCAAATCCTTACGCATACTACCTTGACTCCTCAGACTCCACCCTTTTCACATACAGTAGACCCGTCCCCCAGTGAGCCTCTGTCTCCTCAGACCCTCCTCTGAGTCTCCATGCCTCCTGGAACCCCTAGCCCACTTAAAAAACCCACATCTTGGGTTGGGAATGTAGCTTTCAGTTGGTAGATGGCTTAGGTGAAACATACAAAGCCATGGGTTCTATCCCCAGTACCCGGCACGCAGGTACGTGCTAGCACTCCAGAGGTGGAGGCTGGAGGATATCCTAAGTCCAGGCCAGCCTGGGGTACAAGAGACCATGTCTTAAAAAAAATTAAGAGAGATGGCTCAGTGGCGGCTCTTGCAGAGGACCTGGGTTCAGTTCCCAGCACCCACATGACTAACAATCATCTGTAACTGATGGTTCTAGGGGATCCAACCTCTTCTGACCTCCGTAAGCACTGCACAACAGGGTTGTACTTACATAGATGCAGGCAATACACTCATACACATAAAATTTAAAAAATGTTTTAAAAATAAATAACAATAAAAACAATATAGATCTCAAGACTTCCTGGAGATGCACGTCAATGGAGGCTGGTGCAGGAGAATCTCCAGCCTGGGTTACATAGCAAGACCCTGTCTCAAAACAAACAAGTCGCTCATACTCGAGGCAGAGGCAGGCAGATCTCTGTGAGTTCAAGGCCAGCCTGGTCTACATAGTGAAGTCCAGGCCAGCTGGGACTACAGGAAGACCCTGTCTCAAAAAATAAAAAATAAAAGGAAAGACCAAGACAAACAGGCACTCACTCTGAAAGGTGCCTGGAACCCATCTCTTTCATTGTCACCTTTTGGGAAGTCCCTCCCACTATGATGGGAGTCCTTGATCTCACTGAATCCCTCACCTTCTTAGAGCTCCACCCCAGCTAAGAATCAGTCCCTCTTACCTTGAGGTGGGAATCAGGGTGGAGGAAGAGGAGGTATTGGAAGAATGCCCTTTCCCCTTTGGAAGGACACAGCCTCTCTTACTTTCCCTCCCAGGTTAGCATCAGTCTTGCTGTGGGCAGTATTTATCAGTGGCATCCCCTTCGAGAGTCAACCTTTGTCAGGGCATCCACTTTATGTCTTTTCCTATGCTCACACATTTGCTATGTGGTCCTGAGAGAGAATTCTCTGAGCCTCATCAGACTATTGCTCAAACATACCTTTATGTCTTGATCATCCATCTCTTCTGTATCTCTGTGCTGGAGGCTGGGGACACAGGGATAAGTGAGCTGTGTAAGATGGCACTACGTCGGTGCCAGCCAGCCAAGATGGACAGTACCTGAAAGGGGGAGTGAAGATTGAAAGAAAAAAACAAGAGACAGAAAAGATACTTGGGAGGGCTGTCAGTAGAGACTGCAGGCCCGGTTTATTTCAGCTCTGCCTTTTTATACAGAAGAACTCAATTAGTTTCAACAGCTGTTTTTCCCACCTGTATCTGAGGGTCAAGGAGCGGTCAGATACTTCAAAGGCTTCTTTGATCTTTTTGTCTACCACTATTGCCTCCAGGTCAGATATTGTGAGGCTCTCCATATAAACACATTCCTCCTGATTTGGCAGATTAGGTACTGGTGTGCAGAACACGAACTCAGTAAACAAGCCTGCCACAGCTCAATGTACATAATAGACTAACAGCTCCCAACAACACTATGTCTTTCTTTTTCAACACTGTATCCCTAAGCCTCCCATAAGTGCTTTACTGAGTAGATGACAATATTTACTAAGGACAGACTAATTAGCCACAAATGATGCTCATTATGTGTTTAAGTGCTTTATATGGACTACAGTACTTAGTTAATTGTGCTCGTGTTGGGGAGTGCCATACAGGAGACAGGACAGAGCAGGTCTGAGGGTGGCTATGGTATCATGGGGAGCAGGATGGATGAATTTCTGGAAGCAATGGGAGGATATGACATCAAATGCATGGGGAAGTGGGCCAGCCTTGAGCCAGAGAAGCTGTGATGGTTTATTTTCTTTAAAAATATTTTTAAGACCGGGAGTAGGTGGGGGGTGCACACCTTTGATCCTAGCACTTGGGAGGCAAAGGCAGGTGGATCTCTGTGAATTCAAGGCCAGCCTGGGGAGTTCTAGGCCAGCTGGGGCTACAGGGAGACCCTGCCTCAAAAAGACCAATACATAGGCCAGGTGTGGTGGTGCACGCCTTTAATCCCAGCACTCAGGAGGCAGAGGCAGGCAGATCTCTGTGAGTTCAAGGCTAGCCTGGTCTACATAGTGAGTTCCAGGACAGCTGGGGCTACAGGGAGGCCCTGTCTCAAAAAGACCAAAAAAAAAATTAAAAAAAGACATATATATATATTTAATTTTATGTGTATGAGTATTTTGCCTGCATAATATGTATGTATATCATGTGTGTGCCTAGGGCCTAAAGAGGCCAGAAGAGGGCATCAGATTCTTGGGAACTGGAGTTACAGAGGGTTGTGAGCCACTATGTGGGTGCTGTGAACCGAACCTGGATCCTCTGCAAAATCAGCCAGTGTTCTTAACCACTGAGCCGTCTCTCCAGCTCCAGTATGATGGTTTATATTGACTATCAACTTGAGAAGATCAAGAATCACCTTGAAAACAAATCTTCAGGCATGTGAGGGATGTGAGGGATGATCTAGACTAGGTTACTGAAATGGGAAGATATACCCTAAATGTGGGCAGCACCATTCCCTGGACTGAAGTCCTGGACTAGGTAAAAAAAAAAAGTTAGCTGAGCACCAGCATTCATCCCTCTATTTCCTGACTGTGGACACAGTGTGACAGGCCACCACTAGCTCCTGCCACCATGACTTCCTGCAGGGATGAACTGTACCCTAGGATTGGGAGCCAAAATAAGCCCTTTCTTTTTTATTTTTATTTATTTATTTTTATTTTGTGTGTATGCGTGTATTGCCTGCATGTAGGTAAGTGCACCCATGTCGTGCAATGCCCTTGGAGGTCAGAAGAGGCTGTTGGATCCCCTGGAACTGTAGTTATGGACAGTTGTTAGCTGCCATGTGGGTGCTGGAATTCGAACCCAGGTCTTCTGCAAGAACAACCAGTGTTCTTAACCACTGAGCCATCTCTCTGGCCCCCATAAGCCCTTTGTTAAGTTGCCTTTGTCACAGCAACATGTAAAAGCACTAATATAAAGGGAGTGTTCCATAGTACTGTATCCCTGCCACATGGGCAGGAGGAAGGTGGCCACTGGGAAGAGAGGCAGGACAGTTGTGAGCTGAATTCAGGAAGTGAGGAGATCCAGCTTTGAATCTTGGTTCAGCCACTTGCAGTTCATAGGGCTTTACCACTCTGGATATAAGGCTCTGTCTGTAAAAGAGAGGTTAAATATTTGTCTCTCAGAGGGTTTGAAAGAGTGTTTATAATAAGATGTTCAAAGCCTTTGAGGCAGAGTAAGAACTCAATCAACCAGTGTTGTTATGACTGTTGTTCCTTAGCTTATAGCTGAGTAGGTCAGAAAGTTGAGTGACATACTATCTGCCATAGAGGAGCCAGAGGCATTATCTAGTAAGAAAGGGGAAAGCTTTAGTTCAACAGGAGGCTTAGAAAGGTGGTGAAGCAGAAACAAAAGTCCAAACTGATATGTTCTACCTAGAGTCCCAGATGCTTGGGAGGTTGATGATTGAACCTAGGAGCCCAGGAGTTCAAAGCCAGCAACATAGAAAAACAAAGTCAACATATTATGTCATTCCATTTTTTGTGAAACATTCAGAGGTGGCACATCCGCAGTGAGAAAATAGATTATAGTAGTCCTTGGAGAGAGGGAAATAGGGAGTTCCTGCTTAAAGGGTTTCCTTTGGAAGTGATCACAATACTTTGAAACTAGATAGTGGTGATTAGCTGCAGCACCATGGATATTTGAAATGCCACTAATGACAAATTTTTATGTTTTATGTGTTTTACCACAATTTTCAAAAAAACAGTACTAAAGGAGCTGAAGAGATGGCTCAGTGGTTAGGTGCACACACTACTCTTGCAAAGGACCCGAGTTAGGTTCCCAGAACACATGGCAGCTCACACACCTATAACTCCATCACCAGGGGATTTGACACCCCTTCTGGCCTCCTTGGGCATTGCATCTATGTGCACAAATCCACACAGAAACACACACATACACATAATTTTTGAAAATCTTTTTTTAAACGGTAGTGAAGAATTGAAACAACCAATCACAATGACGGTGATGATGGCAGCTATCACCGTTGAGAAGTTTTGTTTTGCTTGATTTTTGGTTTTGTGACACGTGTTCCAGGTTGCCCTTGAACCAAAGATGACCTGGAACTTTGTGTTTGTTTGTTTGTTTGTTTAATTTTATGTATTATTTCTACTCTATGTATACATACGTGCATTGCCTGCATGTAGGTAAGTGCACCTGTGTCGTACAATGCCCTTGGAGGTCAGAAGAGGCTGTTGGATCCCCAGGACTGGAGCCGTGGACAGCCACTAGCTCCCATGTGAGTGCTGGGATTCAAACCCAGGTCTTCCACAAGAACAATCAGTGTTCCCAACTGCCGAGCCATCTCTCCAGCCCCATTGTTTGTTTGTTTTTAAGACAGGGTCTCCTTGTAGCCCCAGTTGGTCTGGAACTTGATATGTAGACCAAGCTGGCCTTGATCTCACAGAGATTTCTGCCTGTCTCTGCTTTCCAAGTGCTGGTATTAAAGGCCTGTGCCACCATGCCTGCCTGACGTGGAACTCTTGGTCCACTTGCCTCCACTTTCCCAATGCTGGGATCACAGGTCTGCACCGCCATACCCGGCTATCTATTGGGATTTATATGTGTCTAATCACCATGAGAGATATGAA